GTTGGGCAGAGACACTGCAGCTTACACCATGGACCTTGCTGACACTGGACACTGAGTGTTGTCAGTGCCGCTATTTTTTTGTTGCTTTCTGTGGATGTAGAAGCCGGTGTTTACTGGCTGCCTTTACTCAAAGTAAAGCTTTACTTTGAGTAAAGCTGCCTTTACTCAAAGAATTCTGCATAGCCCTCCATCTTTCTATCACACACTCTTAAGGCAGAGGTGTCTTCCCTGGCTGCAAAGAGGCTGGGAAAACAAGTATCTGACACTTTCAAATTTGTCAGGAGGGAGTAAGGTGCTCCTCATTAGGTGATAGGTTCCCTGACTATAGTATGAGTTAGGATAATGGGCAGCCAAGAAGAGAGATGACAGGTTATCTCCTGCAGCCCATTCCTTGGCCATTCAACATCAACACAATGGTTAAAAACTATTCAGTGTAAAGACTGTTGTTAGCTGCTTTCTTAATACTCTTTCCTAACAGAATACTGATTTAATTGGGGCAGCTATGTACCCAGCCTCCTTTGCTGTTAGAAGTTAACAATTTAACAGGTCAGGCAAATAAGACAAAGGAAACTCTGTCTGGATTTCTGGGAAAGCTTTGCTTTTCCTCATAAAAGAGAATAGGTATAGCTGGCATAGGCTATTTCCCCCCTGTTTTTTTCCTGCTTTCAAACATGGACATGACTTCTGGCACAGCGGCACCTTCCTGCAACATGAATATAGCATGCAAGATGAAAAATATGCTAATGAGGCAGGTTTGAAAGACAGAACCACATCCTTTCCTGTATGTAGTTAGTACTGCTAAGCACTGATTAAACACTGTCCCTTTCGGTTGCACACACACACTGGAAAACAGATGACAATTAGGTCTCATCACTTAAAGTGAAAGTGAAGTTGCTCAGTCGTGTCTGACTTTTTGTGACCCAATGGACTATAGCCCACCAGGCTACTCTATCCATGGAATTTTCCAGGCAAGGGTCCTGGAGTGGGTTGCCATTTCCTTCTCCAGGCTTCAATTATTAAATTAATGATATTTTGTAATATGTAGGCTGTGGTGTTTCTTTTGCACTATTAATAAAAGTAGATTTTGCTTATGAAGAACCCCTTGAATACTGAACATTATTTGGCATTTAAAGGAATCTTAAAATAGTTAAGAATATGTTTCAAGTCTGTATTTGAATCTTGGTTTCTGTTTGAATAACCTCCTTGTACCTGAGTATCTGTAAAATGAAGCACAACTGGAAATGGAGATTTTACAATAACTAGAAAGGACCCAGCTTTCTAGTTCTCCTACTTATTTCTGTCTCTCAGTTCAGTTCAGTCACTCAGTTGCATCAGACTCTTTGTGACCCCATGGACTGCAGCACACCAGGCCTCCCTGTCCATCACCAACTCCTGGAGTTTACTCAAACTCATGTCCATTGAGTCAGTGATGCCATCCAACCATCTCATCCTCTGTCATCCCCTTCTCTTCCTGTTATTCCTCTTATTTTAAAACAAATTCCTGATATTCTCATTTTGTTATTTTAAAACAAAGTCTGATTACTGTTATTTTTAAACAAATCTTAATATTGCCTTGGAGATCATTCTAGGTCATTGTTCTTAGCTTTGACTTCACATTAAAGATCACCTGAGTAATTTTTTTTTAACTTCTGATGCCTTGACCACATTCCATAACAATTAGAACAAAGTCTTCTGGTAGGGTATGGGAGGGATGGAAACATCAGTAATTTTTAACCTCTTTAATTGAGCAGAGAATTATTAGTGACTTCAGTTCAGTTCAGTTCAGTCGCTCAGTCATGTCTGACTCTTTGCGACCCCATGAACCGCAGCATGCCAGGTCTCCCTGTCCATCACCAACTCCCAGAGCTTACTAAAACTCATGTCCATTGAGACAGTGATNGAACATTCTTTGGCATTGCTTTTCTTTGTGATTGGAATGAAAACTGACCTTTTCCAGTCCTGTGGCCACTGCTGAATTTTCCAAATTTGCTGACATATTGAGTGCAGCACTTTCACAGCATCATCGTTTAGGATTTGAAATAGCTCAACTGGAATTCTATCACCTCCACTAGCTTTATCGTAGTGATGCTTCGTAAGGCCCACTTGACTTTGCATTCCAGGATTTCTGCCTCTAGGTGAATGACCATATCATTGTGATTATCTGGGTCATGAAGATCTTTTTTGTACAGTTCTTCTGCGTATTCTTGCCACCTCTTCTTAATATCTTCTGTTTCTGTTAGGTCCATACCATTTCTGTCCTTTATTGTGCCCATTTTGCATGAAATGTTCCCTTGGTATCTCTAATTTTCTTGAAGAGATCTCTAGTCTTTCCCATTGGATTGTTTTCCTCTATTTCTCTGCATTGATCACCGAGGAAGGCTTTCTTATCTCTCATTGCTATTCTGTGGAACTCTGCATTCAAATGGGTATATCTTTCCTTCTCTCCTTTGCCTTTCGCTTCTCTTCTTTTCACAGCTATTTGTAAGGCCTCCTTAGACAACTATTTTGTCTTTTTCTTGGGGATGGTCTTGATCCCTGCCTTCTATACAATGTCATGAACTTCCATCCATATATCTTCAGGCACTCTATCAGATCTAACCGCTTGAATCTATTTCTCACTTTCACTGTATAATCATAAGGGATTTGATTTAGGTCATACCTGAATGGTCTAGTGGTTTTCCCTATTTTTTTCAATTTAAGTCTGAATTTGGCAATAAGGAGTTCATGGTCTGAGCCACAGTTGGCTCCCAGTCTTATTTTTGCTGACTGTATAGAGCTTCTCCATCTTTGGTGCAAATATAATCAATCTGATTTCAGTATTGACCATCTGGTGATGTCCATGTATAGAGTCTTCTCTTGTGTTGTTGGAAGAGGGCATTTGCTATGACCAGTGCGTTCTCTTGGCAAAACTCTATTAGCCTTTGCTTTGCTTCATTCTGCACTCCAAGACCAAATTTGCCTGTTACTCCAGGTATTTCTTGAATTCCTACTTTTGCATTCCAGTCTCCTAAAATGAAAAGGACATTTTTTTGGGTGTTAGTTCTAGAAGATCTTGTAGGTCTTCACAGAACCATTCAACTTCAGCTTCTTCAGCATTCAGCCTTATTTTCTCTCTATAGGATTCTCAAGTTGTAGAGAGTTCCTCCTCTGTACTCAATACATCCTTTTATTTATCACATTTGCCTCTCTACCAGATTTTTCTTTGAAAACACTGAATTTTTTTTGTCAATTAGTTTGACATTCTCAAACTAATGTCCTTAGAAGTTATCTGGGATGATTACTAAAATACAAATTCCTAGATTCTGTCCCCAAACTTCTATTTTAGGTCAGTGAACCACATTTTGAGGAACACTGAAATAGACTTTCAATGTTTGAATCAAATTATGCATGATACTAATAAAAGTTCATGGACAGAGAACTTGGCGGGCTACAGTCAATGGGGTCACAAAGAGTCAGACATAACTAATGACTAGTACACAATAAAGGTAGATATCAATAATACTTAATTTTCAAGACACTTCCAAACTGTTTTAATTTTACATTTTGACTTGTAATCATGTAACTTATGATTTCTAACTATGAGTACATCTCTAAAACCATTTCAGAAATAACTATTTTTGGTTATACTAACTATAATGTGATAATTAGGAAGTATTTATGAAATGCCCTAATTGACAGGCTGCTATATAAGTGAAAAATAAACCTTTGCACTTTCTAATAATTTGACTCATTACTGAGTTATATTAGCTGTTATTCTCAAAATGAGATTTTTATTCAAAAAGGTAAGTTTGTACTAAAATTTGGAAACCAGTCAAGTTCCTTCATCAACTGCAAAGTAAACTTTCATACTCAAACCAAAGTCAAGAACATTCTTTCTCCTCTTTAACTACACACTATTTTCATAGTATTAACACCAGCTAGGCTCTATATTATACAGGGTCTTGAGAGCTGTTGAGACTCAAGCTTCAAGTTTTTGATTTGCCAGGGGAAAAGTGAGTATTCATATTTATCCTGACATCTGAGATATAAACAACTCTACAAACATCTCTAAAGGGACATAGAGTAGATAAAGGGACACTATGTTATATTTTTATGGGTCTTTTGATTTTTTTATCATTTTCGCCAAAAATTGGCCATGGCAGCTAACAAATGGCATTTTTCTGCCTCCTGAGTGGAACTGTGGGAAATGGTGGCACTTACGGCATGCACTTCAAGGCAAATGATCAGATTAAAAGTTTACATACTCAGGAAATGAGATAAGAAGACCCACACTTTGGGTGGAAATGTTTTTCAAATTGTTTACAAGACTCTGAATAGAAATCTTACAAATTAAAAAATGACATATACCAATTCATTACAGCCTACCACTATAGGCAAAGTCTGTTAGTATTACTGGGATCAGATGCTTTTAGGATATCTTGGATAAATTCTGTTGTTTTAATTGGTGTTAATTCTTTATGACAGTACAAAAGAAAGTTTACACCACTCAAAGCACTAACAAAAATCTTTCTAGTGATGTGCCTATCCCATGCAGTACAATGCTTAGGGTAATTGGGAAATATTGACAGATTTAGCATAATTATTTCAATTATTTGGGGGCAAAACTAAATTGATAGTATTACATGAGTAATTTATAAATTTGAAATAAGATAAACTGAGATGAGGGAATTAAATGACGAGTGAGCCTAGCTGATCACTTAGCATTGACTCTCAACACAGCTTCTAGAAATGACATAAACTCTCATTAAATGATAAAACTTTGCTTCCTTGTCAAAAGTGGATAAAAAAAAAAAGCCAACTACTAGTACTAGTGATGAAAGACATCCAAACAAGTGATGGTTCTTAATTACAAATGGAAGTTATATATAAATTAAACTGTAGAATGTAGTACCAATAACTATGATGTGAATAAACTTATTATATATTCTTCACACTGGATAAACTACCCAAGTTGAAGATTTCCAAGTAGGACAAAACTGAAGAATTGACTAATAATATCTAACAGAATAAATGAAATTTACTTTCAGCATCTGAACTAAGCACATGTACGTGCATACACATACACAGAACAAATTTTTCAACATTCTTTGAACAATATGATGATTATACTACCACTGGAAATAAACAAACAGTTGACTTACTTTCAAGTATATTTTGTGGGGACTAGCAATAGGTTATCTCAAGAGTAAAGACACCAGGCCATAATGTGCCAACTCTTAGCACCAGAGAGACTTAAAACTTCATAAAAGGTGAATGATGTTACAAATTAGAGAATCTGGCAATCAACTTCTGTGGAACTGTCTTATTTTTTCAAGTGGAAAAAAATCCAGGTTTATGCCAAACAGACCTACAAAGATAATCTGTTTTTAAAATTTTTTTGGAATTGCAATTTATAATCTGATATAAAATAAAACTGCTGGCTTATAACAAAATGCTATAAGTTTCAGAGATATGAAAGAACAAAAATGAACTTAAAACACAGTTTATATAAATCAAGTTCCCGGAAATGAAAATTAAGTCTCTTACAGAAAGGAATAGTGAAACTCAGTGGGTACTTTTACTAACACACCTTAAAACTATTTAGTGGACAGCTACTTTTGACTGCAAATTCTAAATTGCCACTTGATACATTTAATCAACATTAAATCAAGTCTGAGGCAAGACACTGAACGGACAATACTCGAATAGAGTTATTAACTTCCTTCCTTGATAAACAATCTCCAGGCATTATTCAGAAGTTGAATTATTTGATGGCTTGGGAAGCAGTGTCCACTGAGCTTTCCTTCCTGACCTGAAGAGACTCACTGCTGATGGACAATAATTCTCGAAGTTCCTTATTTTCAAGCTGGAAAATAAAAAAAAGTGTATGTTCATTTCAGGTATTCTGTCAAACCGTATCAGAACCCACTGTTTGCGGCTTGAAAGTACATTATTTTACTTTTAAAAGTTTTAAAGAAACAGAAGAACTGAGAATTTCCTAAAATTCTACTTATCTATTCAGTTAAAAAACATTTACTGAGTAATTTCCACATGTCACATGTTAAGACTACACATGAAAAAAACAGGGTCCTGCTCCATTAGAGGAATTCACTGCTTGTCAAAATCTTTATGGTTCCCACAAGTTTTACTATTGTTTCTTCTATCTTTCAAATTCCTAACAATATTTCCACTCTGCTTAACCTTCTCTCCTAGATGTCCTACAGCTTTGGAGAAAGGAAGGAAAGGGGGAAAAGAATAACTGGGCACATAGCCAGGTATCACATGGGTGTCTTACATATATTATCTCATACAATACTGTATGATTATTATATGTATATATGTAGGGTAGGGACCATTGCCTACATCCATGTTCTCTTTGAGATGAGGACACTGGCTCCCAAAAGTCCAAAAACCTGCCCATACTCAGATAACTTGGATGTGGTATTGCCGGTCTCCATCCGATGCCCACATTTTTTCCACTTAAAAGTATTAAGTAAGACTTGTCTCACATTTCCTTAGGGCTGTTTCCATACTGAAGTAAATTATGGATGGCATACACAAGGTCATTCTATCATTTTAACTAACTCCTATCCTAATTGGGTCTTTGCCACTCCCCTTGATTTCCAGACACGGCAGTTTGCACTCTTCATCCTTATTCTCTCTGCTGGAAATTCTGGTAAACCACAGCATTTTCAGGTTTCACCAAGACATACCCTGTATCTCTCTCCTAGCATTTACATACATTTTCATACCAAAAAGAGTTATTACTCTTATTGCTATCATTAGACTCCAAGGAGGGATTCTGTCTTTTTCTCTCTGGTAATTTTCAAAGGGCCCATGGCAGAATTTGTAATAAGGAACATTGAAATCACCTATTGTACTGTTTCTCTTTAATAACTGTATGGGCACACTAATACTCCAGGCCTTTCTTTGTAAATTATTCCCAACTTAATCAAAACATTACATGAAAACAGCTTTAAAAAAATCAAGACTATAAAATAAAAATTGATTAAAAAAAAATCAAGACTACAAGACCTGTAAAATAGTCTGAAGTCCCTTGGCTTTGTTTCCCAAAGGCAACCACTTTTAATATTTTTCTTTCTTTCTTTTGGTGTTTACTTCCATAATTCTAAATAATATGTCTTGTACTGCTATTTCCTGATCATTAAGTATAAACAGTATCTATCTGAGTTCTTTTTACAGCAAATGAGGGACTTTGGCTCACATGTCCCTTCCACTCCCTTCACCGTCTCAATATGATATATCAATTTCTAGCCAATAAGCATTTTCATTGTTTGCTTCTGATTACCCTTCCTTTCTTCAAAAGCGTATGGAGGATGTTTTAATTTTAAATCAGACCACAAAGGAAACATCAATACACTGCAGTGATATACAATGATGGCATACCTTTCAGACTCTGAAAACCCCCTAAGATATTGTGAACCTAAAATAGCAATAATCTTACCTCTAATTGCGCTAGTTTTTCCTGAATCTTACAAAACTGGTCATCATCCATTTGAACTGCTTTCCTCATCACTTCTCCCATTTCACAGATTCTGTCAATCTGATTCTCAATTTCCTGTGAAGATATTCAGAATAAAAAAGTGAAAAAGTCTTTTTTTTTTTAGCCGATATGAAATTCATGAGAACATGTGTATTATGATGTTAAAAATTCATTTAATCTGTGGTACAGAGGCTACAGGAATTTCACTATAATCTAAGTCCTCAGAGGCAAAGCCATTATAAACTTATCTTGTAATATTCACAGATAATTCATTTTCAGAAGATTGATTCTAGTCTAATCATCCACTAGATGTTGGACACTATCTTTAAATGGCTGTTTAACTTAAATTTAAATACTTTTATTGGCAGGAAGCTTGCCACATTCCAAGGTACCTTATTCTATCTTTGGACATATCTCTTAGCAAGCTTTTCATATAAGCTAAATTCTGTCTTCTTCAAGGATCAGGTTTTTCTCCTTTGGACCAAAGATGAAAGCCATTCACATATTTAAAAGATCCTTGTTCCCTATGACCTTAGTTAAACTCATTAAAATGCTTTCAATAGAATCTAAGATGAAACTTATCTTCCATAAATTCCGCTGCAGCAAATAGTGAGGTATCAATCTATTAACTTAGGATTAAATGATATAGTACATGCAAACGTACAAAGACAACTCTAAAGCACTCTACAAACTTAAGAACAATTACTGCACCTCCCAAATTAAACCATAAGCAATGCAAGTATAGAAATTAGGCCATATATTTTTTTTTAAACCATACTTCTCTCTCCTAACAACATAGTATGATGCTATGTTTACCGACCCCCTGCTATGTGCCAAGCACTATGTTAGGGATAAAAGATAAATTCATGCTCCTTACAAGCAAGGAGCTTACAGTTTAGTGAAATGTACCATAACAACAACTCAAGTATTTACTGAACACCGTTAATACTAACAGGCTTCCCCTGTGGCTCAGCTGGTAAAGAATCTGCCTGCAATGTAGGAGACCTGGGTTCAATCCCTAGATTGGGAAGATCCCCTGGAAAAGGAAAAGATTACCCACTCCAGTATTCTGGCCTGGAGAATTCCACGGACTGTATAGTCCATGGGGTCCCAAAGAGTCAGACATGACTGAATGACTTTCATTTTCACTTTAACACTAACTGACATTGTTCAGTGGAAAAACTAAGTATTCATTAACATTTTGAAGAGAGATCTTGGTGGAGGGACAAACTTGAGTCTTACTCAGATAAAAGGTCCTTTACCCCCTTTTTTCTACTCATATTTTATAAAGCTATACTAAAACCTACAGCAAATGTGGTAAACATGAAAGGAAAACAAGCTTACTTCAAAAGCAAGCACATGAGCTAAAACAATGTCAAGATTTCAATTCATTTAGAATTTATCCATCAAAGTTTCTTACTGCAGAGTGAGACTGGTGAGCTTTCAGGACTGGTTCAGCATCCGCTGCTTTTTTAGCAACCATTATTTGTAACATCTGTTTCCGGTATTTGCTCATGATGAGTTCCAAAGCATCCTGGTGTTCCTCCAAGGAAACCCATAGCTCTATCAAAAAACAAAATAACTTGGCAGTGATGTCTGAGATACCTCCTAAAGCCAAACTCAAACAGCTGGATTTTATGACATGCCATGAAATATTACGAACCCAAAGATGTAAATTGGTGTTTAAGTCCACAAAACTCAACAGTCATGGTCTATGAAAAAATATCTTTCTAGGCAGAAGCAGCAAAATCTGGTAGAAACAACATGGGATGTGGCATCAGAAGACATGAGTTTAAGTTCAACTCTGTGAATTACTAGATTACTACTCTTAAATCATGTAACCTCTCTGAGCCTATTTCTTATCTGCCTTGTAATAATAAAAACCTGGCTTGTCTACTTCAAAATGAACATATGACAATACATATATGTATTGCATGATATATGTGAAAGCCCTCTGTAAATATATAAATAACTATTCATACTACTATCATTACAATATATTCACCAAGCCCAAGAATATACACCTGAGGATTAAATTTAGCTCTTCCACCTTGCATAAGAATATAAAAATCCCTTCAATCTTAGCTTTAATGTTTATCTCAATTAATATTTAAACATTAAATCTTAAGCCCTTGAGGATATTAACTCTTCCGTTATGCAAACCTCCGTCTCCAGATGCCTAACAAGCCATGCAATAATAATTCAACTCTACTAAGCACCTCTTGGGTAAGCTGAGTTTAAACACAAAATCAGTCAGATGACCTCGAAAAGAGTAATGTAACAAACTTGACTGCTATTGGGTCAGCACAGGCTATGGCAACCCACTCCAGTATTCTTATCTGGAGAATCCCACGGATAGAGAAGCCTGGCAGGCTAGCCCATGGCGTCCCAAGAGTCGGACACGACTTGGTGACTAAAGCACCACCACAGAATGTGCACTTTTGTGACTTGTCATTTTTGCAAGAACTTTTGAAATATTACTGGATATGAGAAAATCATTACACACAAAAAGGCCTGACTAACCTCTGTTTTCCTGCTGCAAGTCTCTAATCTGTGTATTCTCTTGGGACAGCAGAATGTGAGGTTTGTATTTGGACATGTCCTTTATATCGGATGCATCCTCTTGATACTGGACAAACAAGAGACAAACTAATCGCGCCGTAAACATAACAGCCGCAGATGCAACTGAAGAGGTAGGAGGCAGAACTCCAGGGCAGCAATGGCAGCCCCGACCCCGCAGAAAGGTCTCACCGCCCCCCTCTGGGACCAGGAAAAAACTCCAAGCCGAGTTTCCACTTTACCTCATCCTCCACCCCTTAAGTGCCCAGAACCCGAGGGCACGGGCCCGTACCCTCTGCCTGACCTGGTCCGGAAGCGCTGTTCCCGCCTCCCGCATAGCGGCCACCCGCCGATGCAGAGCCGCCGACTGATCCACTAGTGACTCGGCGGCCGCATCGTGCTCCCTCAGCCTTTCCAATAGAGTCTTAGCGTCTGTCAGAATCTTCTCGATGGTGCAGCTCATAGCAGCCCCTGGACCGCAGTCAGAACACCGCTCACTTGTGCCAAAGACTCAGCGCGTCCCTAAGCGAGTCTCAGCTTTACAGACGTCACTTCCGGGTACGTTTAAAAGGAGCCTCGGCGGGAGCCGCGATATGCGCTTGCGCAGTGGCAGCCTGACCAGTGGGTGGCTGGTGACCGTCTTTAACCTGTGGCTTCCCCACATCCTCGCCCTGTGCAGAGCCCCAGAGGCCTGCCCTTGCCACGCCTTTGGTTTCCTGTTTCCACTGCCTGGTGGTCAAGTTGTGTTAAGGCTGGGCTAGTCTTGAGTTTCTCCTGTTCCTACTGGTTTTGATTGATGTGGATTATTCTTATCACCGTTTAAAATTTTTTTCTTTTAATGTGGTAAACACGCTTTAAATTTATCATCTTAACCAATAGTACTAAGTACGTTCAAGTTGTTGTGCAGTCATCACTGCCATTCATCTGCAGCATTCTTTTCATCTTGCAAAACTGAAGACTCTTGAGAATCTCTTGGAGTGCAAGGAGATCAAATCAGTCAATCCTAAAGGAAATCAGCCCTGCCTATTCGTTGAAGGACTGATGATGAAGCTCAAGCTCAAGTAATTTGGCCACCTGATGCTAAGAACTGATTCACTGAAAAAGACTGATGCTCAGAAAGGTTGAGGGCGGGAGGAGAAAGGGGTGACAGGATAAGATGGTTGGATAGCTTCACTGATTCAATGAACATGAATTTGAGCAAACTCTGGGAGATGGTGAAGGACTGGAAAGCCTGGTGTGTTGCAGTCCATGGAGTTGCAAAGAGTGGAAAGCTACTTAGCGAGTAAACACAACAGCATTAGACTTTTAACTCCTTATTCTGCCTTCCTCCCAGCCCTTGGCAACCACTCCTCTACTTTCTGTCTCTATGAATTTAGCTACATTAGATACCTCATACAAGTGGAATCATAGAAGTCATAATTGTCATTTTAGTGAATGGCTTATTTCACTTGACATAATGTCCTCAAGGTTCATCCATGCAAGCAGAAATTCCTTTCTTGATAAGACTGACTAATATTCATATATATGTGTGTGCATATGTATAGGCTTCCATGGTGGCTCAGTGGTAAAAAATCTACCTGCCAGTGCAGGAGACTTCATGTTCTATCCCTGGGTCAGGAAGATCCCATGGAGGAGGAACTGGCAACCCACTCCACTGTTCTTGCCTGGAGAAGCCCATGGACAGAGGAGCCTGGTGGGCTACAGTCTGTGGGGTCACAAAGAGTTGGACATGACTCAACAATGGCAGCTACTGATGGAGCCTTGGGTAGCCTTCATCTTTTTGCTGTTGTAAATAATGCTGTTATGAACACATGTATAAATATCTGTTTGCATCCCTTCTTTAAATTCTTTTGAGTGTATATCCAGAAGTGGAATCACTGGGACATGTGGTAATTCTATTTTTAAATTTTTGAGGAATGACCAAACTGTTTTCCACAGTGGCTGCATCATTTTACATTTTTACCAACAGTACATAAGGGTTTCAATTTCTTCACATCTTTGCATACACTTGTTATTTTCTCTTTTCTTCAATAGCCATTTTAATGGGTGTGAGGTAGAGTCATTGCTTACCTATTTTTTTCTATTTTAGCTCAATTATTAATTGAGAATAAATTATACCAGAACAGCAATGACTTGCGCTATTATATCGATTTATGTTTACCTTGTCAAGCTTGTGTGTCAAGCTTTGCTCTTTTTCATCGATTACTTTATTACTGCAAATATTTTTGAAAAGTCTTCAGTTTCAGGCACTGTTTAGTGTCTGGAAATACAGCAGAGAATGACACAAGGTCTTGACCCTCAGGGAGTTTATATTCTACTGGGAGAAAGAGTTCAAACTCTTATATATAGTTGGAGGTAGTGACAGAATTGGGAACCCAGTGAAAGGGGCAAGAGTGCCATGGCAGTAGTGAGAGGTCGGAGAAGGGGGTTGGGGAGGAGAATTGACTTTGTACTTTTTATTCTCAGTATATTCTGGAGGAAAACCTGCCTACCACACCTCCTATAGATAACACGCTGGCCCACTTACCCCAGGACTGCAGAATTTGCGAACTGTACTTTAATACATTCCTTCACTAAAACCACAGTTCCTTGCAATTAGTGCTCTCCTACGCTCGCCCTCACCACCTGAACCACAGCCTTACGGGACACTCACCTTATGAAAGGTGAGGTGCTAAGTACACACAACAGTCAGGGGCCCATAGGAGAGACAATTCAGGGGAACTCTCCAATTCTCTTTTTGCTACACTCATACAATCTGTTCCTAGTGAAATCTGGAAGACGACTTGTTAGGTCTATTCAAAAGCCACAAAAGTACTTAATCAACACTTTTGAATTCTACCTCTTATTATGCTATCCCATGGAAGGTTTTTCCTATTACCGTTCTCTGCTCTGCCTAGATCTTGTCCTTCCCCACTTTTTCCTGACCTGGAAAACCGAAGTTTGGAAGATATACTTGCTTTATTCTTCTATAGGGCTTCCCATGTGGTGCTAGTGGTAAAGAGCCTGCCTGCCAACGCAGGAGACTTTAGAGACACAGTATGGATCCCTGTATCGGGAAGATGCCCTGGAGGAGGGCATGGCAAGCCATTCCAGTATTCTTGCCTGGAGAATCCCATGGATAGAGGAGCTTGGTGGAACATGGGGTCCCACAGAGTCGGAGACTCCTGAAGGGACTTCGCAACACAGCACAGCATCATAACCATCTCTAACACCTGGTCTGTAGAAAGAACTATATCATAATTGCTATAGTACTGACAGTAATGCTGATGTTTATTAAGCGCTTACTCTGCACTTGTCAGTATTCTAAGGACTTTATAGTGATTCAGTTATATAATCCTCACAATTACCATGTGTTAAATTTCCTCTGTGAAAGTGTGAAAGTATTAATTGCTCTGTTGTGTCTGACTCTTCGTGACCCCATGAACTATATAGCCTGCCAGCCTACTCTCTCCAAGGAATTCTCCACTCAAGAATACCGGGGTGGGTAGAAGATCCTTCTCCAGGGGATCTTCCCAACCCAGGGATTGAACCTGGGTCTCCTGAATTGCAGGCAGATTCTTTTACCTTCTGAGTCACCGAGGAAGCCTAGATTTCCTTTAAACAATGCCGTATGCATCAGAGAGCTTTAGTATTATCTAGCAAGCACAAACTTTTCTTTTCAGATTTGACCACTTTCCCTAAATCAGCTTTTGATTATACAAGTTCATAATTCCTTATTCAAAACCTTGGGACATGATGTGTACTGAGATTCAGAAAATTTAATGCTTTAGAAAGGTATTAAGATCCATATACTGTATATCACTTAACACTAGGGTTTGAATGAATTATGTGTATCTTTTGCACATATATTGCATTTTTAATAAAACTGACTACAGTTAAAAGTTTTCTTGCTATTTCCAGTCTTATGCTTCTCTATGACATAATATAATTATTATTTTTCTTTAGGAGTGTGCATGTTTTTGGTATAAGTATTTCCTTATAAGAACTTCAGAGAACAGTCCACAACAGGAGCATGAAGGTCTGAAATTCTTTTCACTATTACCTGGAGGAAACTGGACTGCATCTGACATAGCAGTGTCTGAGTAGAACAGTCAGTGAACCACACATGATCCTAGTTAAGACTGAATGAGTCAGACTTTGAGAGCTATACTGTCAACTATTATGGATTGACTTTCTGGAGCCAGGGTTCATATTGTACTTTGCATGGTGGGAAATAGAAGATCTTTCCTGAATTCAATCCTTGTTCCCACTCTCAATCATCCTTAAGGAGAAAATGTGGCCCCTAGGTAGAGGTCAACCTTTTCTCTGGCTGGGTCTGAGAAAGAGTGAGAGCTCGTAGCTTGGAAAGGAAAAGATGATGATAAGTGACCCCTGATTTTGAGAGATGATTTTGAGTGCCATTCTAAAACTCTGTGGCCAACAGAGGGATAAAGGAGAGAGATCACTGGTAGGAAACACTTTGGGATAAAGTATTACCAGTAGATTCTAGGGCAATGATAACTAAAATTTTGCCTTCCATGATCATCTTTTCCAGTGTTACAGTCCCTTTTATCTTTGAGTCAGTAGTTAAATTTATAAATACTGAAGTTTCAAGTTATCTGTATTTAAGGGTTTCAGGTAGGTGCCTAAGTCTGTATTTGGGGCAAAGCGTTAGAGCCTGCTCTAAAGTTAGATTGTGATGATGTTTGCGCTATACTGAATATACTAAAAATCACTGAAATGTATGCTTTACCTGCATGAATTTTATGGGTTATTTATAAATAAACATGTGAATAAAGCTGTTAAAAGATCAAGTTCTGGATCACTGGTTAGTGCACAGTAAAATAACAGTAGCTTATATTTTTAGAACATTCACTATGTGCAATGAAATTATCTAAAGTCTTCTTCATAGATAACTCTCACAACAATTATATATGGTAGGTATTATCATTATCTCTACTTTAACAGAGAAGGAATGTGTAATTTTGTCTTACCGTTTATACGTTTTAGAGCCAAGATAAGAGTTAGGAGTCTGGCTTCAGGATCAATACTCTCTACCACTACACTGTAGTGTTGTATCAGGGTAGGGTGAGGAGTTAAGTGTATTTCTCATTAAAAAAGGAGATAAAATCAGGTGCTGACAGTGGTGGGGGGTGGTGGTTATTAAGTGATGCAAGGGTTCGGAATAAAGCAATTACTGAAGGGAATCAGAGGGTATATACCATTTATTTACTGCTAGCATATTAAAAAGCAGAGACATTACTTTGCCAACAAAGGTCCGTCTAGTCAAAGCTATGGTTTTTCCAGTAAGAAACTATCCCACAGCTTAGTGGCTTAAAACAGTAATCACTTATTTTGCTCACTAGTCTTCTGAGTTGTCTTTCTCATATGGGTCAGATTTGGCTGATTCTAGTTTGTGATTGGTTGGTTGGCAGAGGGCTAGCTGGTCCTGGGTATACTCACATGTCTGATGGGTAGGCCTGCTGTCAACTGGAGTGATGGTGGTGACTGGTCATTGATCTCTCATCCTTTAGTAGGTTAGCAATAGCTTGTTCACATGGCTATCGAATAACAAGATCAATACAAGACCAAATGGGCAAGTGTTTTCTCACCTCTGCTTACTCATGTATTCTACAGCATCTCACTGGCCAAAGCAAATCATGTGGCCAGCCCACATTCACAGGGTGGAGAAATACACCCCACTTCTTTCTGGGAGGGAAAAGATGGAGTCCATTTTTCAATCTACCACAGAAGATTTGCAATCTCTCATAGAAGGAGAGGTTCCAATGGTTAAAGATAAATGAGAGGTGTTAGAGGTCTGATTAAAATTAGAAATTATACTTGTGTGGTGGCATAATCTCCATGATTTTACAATTTTCTATAGTATGGTTCAACTTCCTAGAGAAAAATTGAGAGTGAGGTCTTTGGGAATCAGTGATGAGGTCCAGCTGA